CCCCCTCAGCCTTCTCTTTGTCAGACTAAACAACCCAAGCTCCACTGTGAGCTCAACTGCAGAATGTATGTCACAGTTCATCAGATGTCACAGTAGCCTATAATAGCAAATGGTGATGGAAAAGGACAATAAAGGGAGTGAGAAAGAGAGACTGAATTAGTCCAAAGGAAAAGGTCTCCTGATAGAACTCACAAACTGTGCTAAGATCATGCCTCATAAATAAATAAGACACTGATTTTTCAGTCTCACATGGTATCAAATGAGGCCTAATTGGTGAGCAAAGTAATGAGGGGATGGGCTATTGCACCCATCAGTCCCTTTTGGAGTTCTTAAAGAAAGAGACTTTGAGTAGAAAAGTTGGCTACTGGAATGAGTGTCACCATCATGGCTAACACCCGCACTGTTTCCTGGGACCCCAGAACTTCTTCATCCTAATCCTGAGAGACGTCCTGACCAGACTGGTCCAGAGAGAGGGAGGAAGATGACACCATGACTGCCTCCAGCTAAATCCCAAATACAGCCTGAGATGTGAGACTTTCTCTTGCTCTGTCTTCTTCTTCTTCACCCCGCCTCCTTTTCCTTTGCCACTTTATTTCTTCTCTTTCCTATCCCTCCCCTTTTCCCTTCTGTCTAATGAGAGTTTGGCCACTCAGTCCCTAGTCTGTAGCAATGCATGGGATTCTTCCATCCTAAGTGCAGGACTCTGAACTTGTCCTTATGGAACCTCATCAGATTTCTTTTGGCCCAATCCTGTAATTCATCTAGGTCTCACTGTGTCCTATCCCTACCCTCCAGCATATCTACCACTTCTCCCAGTTTAGTGTCATTTTGAAACCTGCTGAGGGTGCAATCAATACCATCCTCCAGATCATTAATAAAGATATTGAACAAAGTCGGCCCCAGGACCAGGGCTGGCTCCAGGCACCAGTGAAGGAAACAGGTGCCTGAGGAGGGCAATAGAAAGGGGCGGCAGACCATCTGTTTTGGGGCAGCAGCAATTCGGCGGCAGCTGAATCATTCCGCTTCAGTCTTCAGCAGCAATTCGGCGGCAGGTCCTTCACTCCCTGTCTTCCTCTTTGGCCGCACTTTGGCATCAGCTCAATCGTGTATTTCTATTTTTTTTTCTTTTTTCGACACTTTGGGTGGCAAAAAAGCTGGAGTCGGCCCTGCCCAAGACAGACCCTTGGGTACTTTGCTTGATACCGGCTGCCAACTAGACCTGGAGCCATTGATCACTACCCGTTGAGCCTGA